GGTTCGGTTGAGCATTAGCCGGAGGCTGTTGCTCGGATCGAAGGTCAGCGGATTGAGGTTCCGGATCCTGATGGTCCGGGTCTCTTCTGTTCGGTGATCCGTCGATCTGGATCACGGGATCCGGGATGGATGGGCTCGTTGCCTGGTTGGAAGGATCCATTCTCAAGTTTCGGAGTGAAGGATTCAATTATCTCGTCCCCTCAGACGGCGCCAAAATGTGAGGGGTAAAACTCACTCTCTAGTTTAGGTTAGGTTTAGATTGGGAGAAGATAATCGTGGGCTGAATCCTGTTGGAACTTGTATGAATGAATACGTTTGTTTATATTGAGTTTGATGATAAAAGAGTTTACAAGGATGATCTCGACGATCTAATAGAAAGAACAATGATTGATTGAGATGATTAAGAACAAAGTGTATTAGAGTCCTTTTATCTTCAATGAATCGAATCCCCTCTCTCTGATCTCTTCTCTTCTTTATATAGCTCTAGGTCACGTCCAACTTCTCCCGGCGAAGCCTCCGAGATTATCTCCATGAGTTGCGGGATTTGCAACAGCTTCCTCTTGACTAAGTCTTGCACGTTCTCCTGGAGCTGTTTCTCGTTAGCTGTTTGTAAACGAGGTCCCGAGTCTTTTGTNCCTCTCTCTGATCTCTTCTCTTCTTTATATAGCTCTAGGTCACGTCCAACTTCTCCCGGCGAAGCCTCCGAGATTATCTCCATGAGTTGCGGGATTTGCAACAGCTTCCTCTTGACTAAGTCTTGCACGTTCTCCTGGAGCTGTTTCTCGTTAGCTGTTTGTAAACGAGGTCCCGAGTCTTTTGTTCGTGACCTGTTTTCATCGATAGGTAACGATTTCATTTGATTCTCATTTGAGGAAAGGCTTCCTAATGGGCTCGTAATGCCCCGTAAACGGTTTCGACTATTCGGCCCATTAATTCAGCTAACGGGCTAAATTCGGGCCCAACAATATACTACCATATATTTATAGTGTATTTGTTTACAATTAACACCTATGTTAACATTGAATATTCGTTGGTACGTGTATTTGTTAACAGTTAACACATATGTTAATAGTTATGACTACATGAAGTGGTAGTCGTAAGTCAGATGTTATTTGACCACTATTGTACGACTACCATATTTGGTAGTAATGTTACGTCGAAATTACGACGAAATGCATTGTAGTCATACGTTAGACGTAAAGTCGATGTTAAGTTACGACTATACATATGTGGTCGTAAATTGTAGTAGCTACTCCCACGTTTTCTTGTTGTGATTGGGTGGATTTTGGGATCCACAGAACCTTTATTTTGAATTTGAGACCCATTCTTCTGCCTTCTTGTACTCAGTGCACGACAAGAACCACTCCCAACTGCTGCTGCTACACTTCCTAAGATTCTAGGTGACGCATGTCGAATAGTACTTTGTTGTCATGAATCATTGTATGGCTGAAAAAACGCTCGAGAGACACTTCTTGTGTGTTTAGGAAGAGCCCCCTCCTGATCATCCTTAGCATTATTCTCCTCATTGAAAAGGACCATTGCACTTGACCTGATTTCACATTGCTCATGAGCGATGTCATTTGCATGAATATCATCTTCCACGGGATGTATATGCTGTGGTTCATCTCCTAATAAATCATCCAACTCCACAGCCATTAACTCGTTGCCAATCGGAGCATCCTCCATATGAGCATCAAACATGTGGTCTTCATCATTAAGGGCTCTAATGATAGCCATATTAGATAGCTGAACAGCATGGATATCATGAACCAGTGGCAATAGAGACCTATGATCCGAACTCTTGCTTCTAAACATTATGTTCCCATCCTCCATATGGGTAGAGGCCTGAGCTTTCAATGTCAGAATTGTGTCATGATAAGTCGATCTGATCTTGCTTTGCGGAAGTGGCAACAAGACCAAATTAGGTCCACTCAAGTTCCCTTGTTTCAGTGCAGGAGAAGTCTGCAAAGAATGAGACGAGCTGTCCAAGTTAAGTGCTGAATGATTGCCTGATTTTGTGGCTGGTACTGGTATTACTTTTTCATACCAAACCCTAGTCATGGGCATATTATCCGAAATCCGAACTAAACCCAAATTATTTTGTAATAAGGTTCCATTTTGGGTTTTATAAGAAAATTGAAACCGACCCAAACCCGACATTATCCGAACCAAACCGATCCGAAAAATGTGCGGTTCCTAAATGGTTCCTAAACATCCCAACCCGAATAACCCGAAAACCGAATAAACCGAACTGACCTGAACCGAAAAATCGAATGCCCATGATTACCAAACCCAGTCAGTCTTACAGTATTTTTGGACATTATCAAATCTTTTCTTCTCTCAATTATCTTGTGAGGCTTTACTTCCTCCTTGACGATCATAAGAATATTGCTTATTATAGAAAGGATGGTTTCTTGACGTTAAGTTGTCTTATTCACACGAGAATTATCTTTGTGCTTGTCCTCCTTTGGATAACGCTCTTGAGCTAGCTGGTTTGAAGAGTGAGACCTTCCATCCTCCACTGACTTTCCATCCCACTTGAAACTGATGTTGATTCCCCTGAGATTAGTCTTATGCCTCGTGAGTGCTCAGTTTTCAATTCTGATTCATCACTGCATCAAGGGACGCCTTATTTTGCATAGATTTACCTCATGAGAGATGATTCCACAGAAGCCTTTTGAATAGCCTTTCATACTTCAGTTGAATAGATATTTGACCATACTTAGACCTTATGGTGCAGATAGACAACCTTGATGCCTTCAGTTGAATAGATATTCAACTGAAGTATGGTGCAGATAGACAACTTTGATGCCTACGGACGCCATGATTGCATGGAAATCAAGATCTCAATGGAGATTTTGATTTGGAATCCCCACCTCCTAAAAATCGCCTTAGGTTACCTGGTTGTTTAAAAGAGTACAAAATGTTTTCCTACGCCATAAGGAGACATAATAACTTTTAAAAAGTATTTTATTACATTAGTTTTTGAATAAGACAATTAGTGATTTTGAATAATAAAGACTAGGTAATAACCCGCGCCTTGCGGAATGAGATTATTACTTTTGTTACTTTTAAGATAAAAATGATATTATGTCTGTTTAGCATGAATATTGGTTCAGTTTTACGTTGTTTTTTAATCTCCTAAAATATAACTATCATTCTAAATCTATATTTGTTTTGGTTTGTTTGGTTTAAATGTTTGATGTTTTTGATTTTTGCGATGATAACAAAAAACTATTGTTATTTGTTTGGTTTCGTTTTATATAAATTTTAGACATTTTTTATGTCGAACTAATAGTAGAATATTAGAATTTCTAAATACATGTAAAATCAAAGAAAGTCTAAATAATATTTGAAGAAAAAAGAAAAAAAAATTATTAACACAAAAAATTTCACTACAATTTGAGCGATAGTGAAAGAAAACATTAAAAAAAAATCAACTTCAATAAGAATTAAAATTCTCACTTGTGGTGAATAATTAGTTATATAGTCGTTCATATCAATGTGTACATGTATATATATGTAAAAGTATATAAATGTGATGATAAATATATGAATTTTATGTTAATTAAGATTTAAAACATTTTTGTTCAAAATAACACATGATAGTAAATTTTTAAATAAAACTAAGTAAAAATAAAATAAACCTAGAAATTAATAACATTTTCATATGAAGAAAATCAAATTGTACCCGTAAACAATAAAAATAATATATATTACAAAGTGACATCTTCACTTGGTACCTGAATTCTGTTTTTAATCAATTTTATGATTTTTATTTCTTTTTAAAACTTTTCTGATTTCTGATTTTTTTCTACCAATTTGATTTTGTTTCTAATTCATGGTCTGATATGAAAACTTTTAAAAATTTTAATATTTAACTAAAGTTAAGACCCGACTTTACATGTGTTTTTCACCTCCGTTTTTTTAATTCATAATCAATCACCTTATTTGTTGTTATAGTGTAACGAAACCTCAACCATAACCAACATTCAATTTCTACAAACATTTTCATCGCAACATTTTAGTTGATGCGAATCTTTAATAATTTTGTAATTTTTTTACAATAAAAATATTATTCATTAGTGTCACGTAGAAAATTTTAATTTATTAATACAAAGGCTAAAAACGTAGAAAAAATGAATTAATTAAAAAATAGTGTATAAACACATTAAATAATGAATTTAAAAAATTAGTTTATGAATGCATTAATTGTCAAATGATTGTAAGGCCAACACGTGTCCGTTACGGTGTGAACGCATTTATTACAATGTTTCTCTTTTAATATAAAATGGATTATATAACAAATTAATCATTTATATGTCCTCTTTCTTTTTTTTTTGTTTAATATTATATCATTAAAAAAACTAAATAACCACATTAAGTATTTAATGAAAATTGAGATTTTTTTGTATAATTTATATTTTGTATTTTTTTTAAACGAATATAAATTACTAAAATTGTTAAACATCTCATATTATTATTTTTCCTATAAACAAGATACAAATGATCATAAAATCATATGACAACGAAATCTCATTTAATAGATATTCAAACTCTATATATAATAAAACTATATACCCTATAAAAATATATTATTTTGAAATTTTTATTTATGTAACAAATATTTTATAAAATATATCATTCCGCACATGATATAGATTATTAACTAGTTTGATATTAAATATGACCACTCAAAAGTATAAATATATATATATATATATATATATCATTATAATTAAACTATATATCTTATTAAAATACATTATTTTGAAAATTTTATTTATTTAATAAAATATATTACTACCCCTGCAGATTATTAACTAGTTTGATATTAAATATGGACCACTCGAAAGTTATCACGCTACTACGATTTATATACTTCCCTTATTTGACAAAAAAATAATAAATAAATAAAAACTAAAAAAAATATAATTCCCTTATATATCACTCCCAGAAACCAAATCCTTTCTCACACCACAAAAACATAAAAAGAGAAATAGTTGACGCAATGAAGTCAATAGTATTGCTCCTGCTGCTTCTTGTCGTTTCAACCTCAGGGAACAAGATGTATAGTTGGCAAAATCTCACCGGCGTTCATCAAGATGAAGGGATTTGGGATTCTCTTGCGCAGGTAAATTACATATTCCCTATAACCATTCAACCCCAGAAGACATGTGGTGGCAAGGCTGGTGCATGTACCGGAAATGTTAATGGGATGAAATACAGCAAATGTGTAACATACGACAGATGCAAACGCTTGATGATGGGGTAACGTAACTCAAGTTTCCTCTATGGCTCCGAATGGTTAGTCGACTATCCGTATTTACAACTTTCTTTTGTTCCGTCCTTGTACGCTCTGTGAGTTCTATTCGATATGCCTGTTCATCTATTAGGAAACCATGTAACCTCTACTGGATCGCTTCATGGGTTATATATGTTTTATCTATTTTTTTCCAAAATATATGAAGTGTTTTTTAATTTTTGTAACGTCCGTGAAGTAATTATACAAGAGTATTTGCATTTCATACACACACAAAACCCCCTATTTAGCTATATACCATATTTCCCTCTTCTCTCTCCTTCCCCCCGTTACTACTTTTCTCCCCCCTAAAATATGGCAAATCCCTAAATAGTTTATTCTTTTGGTATATTGAACAAATTCACTCACTCCGAACAAACTCCGCATCTTGATAAAATCTTCACGCTTGAGAGGCTTGGTAAAGATATCAGCTAACTGATCATTTGTCTTCACATACTCCAATTGCATTTCCATCTTGGTGACACATTCCCTAATATAGTGATAACGGGTATCGATATACTTGCTTCGATCATGGAAAATTAGATTCTTCGCCAATGCTATTGCTGATTTGTTATCAACAAAGATCTTTGTTGGCTCCTCTTGTGGTAGACTTAACTCTTTTAGCAAGCTTCGTAACCATATAGCATGGCAGACACATGAAGTAGCCGCCACATACTCCGCTTCAATCGTTTTTTTTGGTTGTGGACTACCTGTTCAGCCCCAAATGAAAAGGCAGTTTTTTATTCTTTTTGCTCTTTTTTTTACCAAGTTTGTTCAAAACTTTTGCTCAGTTCTTTTAAATTAAAATGAGCACATGTTATTTTAAAGAAACATAAGATTGTATATATCAAATAAAATATCAATCTTCATTTTAAGTTCCTCAATTGACCAAAGAGAATCAAATTAAAATTTTGAGGTTGATCATTGTTTGCTGACTCTATATTATATTTTGATTTTTGTTTTTCTAAAATCTACTTTTTATCCCATCAAAACTTTGGAAATATAAATTCCCTAATTTTTAGGAAAACCAGATTTTGAGCCAATTTATTAACTATGTATTTTTAACTGCATTAATTATGTACTATCACAACACGCCCACATATATATATATATATGAGTTTATTACATCATAGGGCAGTTTTAAGTTTTTTATTACACAAAAGAGCAGTTTATGCTACCAAGACAGTTTATTCTAACTAATTCTCTTTTCTTCTTCTTTTTCTAACGAGATAGTCACCTTCTAATTAAGAACCTCTAACTAACTAAAATAAAATAGATCCCTTATAATTTTCTTCTTCGTCCTTTTCCTTTGTTCACTATTTGAAGCTTCAACCATGGTGTCTCTGTTTTCTCATATCATTATGCTCTGCTCCTGCTCCGAAACCACCGACGAGCCTGAGGCAAACTCGATCTCTAGGCCGCCATACTCTGCTCATGCTTCGAAACCGCCCGCGAGCCTCAGGCAAACTCAATTTCTATGGTAGCGGCTTTTTTTCAAATGATAACAATGAAGCTCAAACAACAATGACTAAATCTCAGAGAAGACTCAGATTTTTTTCAAATCTGAAGATGAAAAATTATTTATAAATGATAAAGTTACGATCTTGAAGTGTAACCTACAATTAAAATGTAAGAAAATGAAAGATTATGAGAAAGAAATCAATGACAGCCGCAAAATAGTTGCAGGAAACCCTAAAAATCTGGGAAAGACGAAGATATATTTACTAAAATGCCACTGACTAAAAAGTTGAAAATAATGTGTACACTTTCGATATATTGGTTCACTTTTGACGTACATGTGTACACGAGATAACCTGTCCATGTATCCTAATGTTAGTGTACACGAGTATATTGGGTGACCACATGGATGTGTACATAATTCAGATGATGTGGATGTGTACATAAGTTGTGTATGTAGTTTTGTTCGTGTACACGAGTAAAGTGAACAACCTTCATACGTTTTACATGTACAATGATTTACATATACACAAAATTTGTACAATAATACATAAACGTTATACATTGTTTCTCCAACAAGGCGAATGTATCTTCTGTCCACTCTGATTTTTTCTAGTTCTTGAATCAAAACAAAGAATTGATGCTCACAAATCCATCTACAAAGGAAGTTATGATATCTAATGATTTTATAAAAAATCACATGTATACTAGCTCTTTTATAAAAATTACATGTTCACAAATACAATGTTTTATAGAAAATCACATATACACTAGTTCTTTTGTACATATCACAAGTTATGATTTGTATAAAAATTACATGAACACTAGAGATGTATACACGTGTACATTTTCACATCATCAGTAAGTATGTACACAGATTTGGTGTACATCATCAGTAGAAAATCACATCACTAGTTTTTTTGTACACCGCACAAGTAACGATTCTTATAAAAATCACATTAACACTAGATGGTACACACGTGTCCATCAAAGATAAAATTATTATTGTTTTGTGTACTATTTAGTTGTGTATGTTATGTATAGTGTACAATTTAGTTGTGTCAAGATAAAATTATTCTTATAAAAATCACATGAACACCATATGGTACACATGTGTCCATCAAAGATGAAAGTGGTGTACATAACATATGAGTGATTTTAATGATTTTTACAAATACTACATGTACACTTAATTAATAAACATCTACATGTAAAGTTAGAATGTACACTTGTACACATGTCTACGTGTACACATTTTTTTAATATTAATTCATTAATGGTATTATTGTAATTATTTCATCTTCTTCCTCAATCCTAGTTACGAATTTTGCAGGAAAATTGGGGGTTCTTCAGAATGTCTGAACCTGAAGAGATTACTAGATTGGAGATCTTGCTGTCAGAAATAAATATATTCAAATGTCTACGAACTAGATCTTCAATAAAATCAAAACTGGCCATTGTTGTTCATCGAAATTTTGCAACGAAGGAAAACTGCGAGATGGAGGAGATGAAAATGGAGAAATGTAGGCGGCATTGAGAACAAGAAAGAGACGACGAAGGCACAATGAGAAGGAGACGACGAACGCGACGACGAGAAGGATACGACAAAAGCGGCGACGAAAAAAAGGAAAAGATGAGATGGGGACATAAGTGGTCTTATTGCAGCAGAAGAATGGTTTTTAGACAAGATGATGAAGTTGTAACCATGGATCTTTATCTCTTCAAGTTGAGATTTACCAAAAAATGATTTTCGTAGTTTTAGTTCTCTGTAAACATAAAAAAAAGTTAAGAATAAAGTGATTATTTTATTGTTTGGTTAGGAAAGGACTACTTTAGTTAAAGAAAAAGAAGATCTGTTAGGAAAAAGTGTCTTGGTAGAACAAACTGTCTTATTGTGATATAATAATCTTGAAACTGTCTTTTTATGATATTGTTTCTATATATATATATATATATGTGTGTGTGTGTAAAGGTTCCTTTATTTAATTTCTGCTATTTTTTTCTTTTATATTATATAAATAAATTTATTTTCAAGTGGTCATATTTGTATTATTTTTTATTTTCCTAATAAATAATTAATATTTATTCTTAATTTTTTTTCAATTTCCAAGTAAAATAATTAATAATATATAGTTAATCTACAAAATAAAAAATCATAAATATTCGTAAAAACTAAAACTACAGTAAAATAAAAAAAATTCGACATATAAAAAAGGTTATTTGTGAAATAATAAAAAAAAATCATAATTAGTTTTTTTAGAGAGATAGTAGGAAGAGATATAAAGAGAAAAGAGAAGAGAGGGTGAGATTTTGTTAGATTGTTAAAAAAAAATTTCTTAGTAAAGTGCAATTTCCCAATATTTTAGTAAATTTCTAGAAACATAAATCTAAATTTAGATATGAAATCACCATTCGTATTTTTCGAAAAACTCAAATCTACTGCAAAATCATAGTTTTCTTGTTTTGAAATATTATCTATCATAGTTTTATTACTATATTTCAAATATTTTCCTCGATGATAAATAAAGTAAGTATTTAGAAACTAATCATCTCTGGAATTTCATAATACTATTTTGACCATCTTCATACATGTATTAGAATCTATCATATTTTAGATAGATTTTTATTTACAGATTTAGAGCCATTAGTTATCTGATAAAGTTTGAAAAGTATTTCAGTTCAAAAATAAAATTAGCTGTTAGAGATATTTTAGATCATGAACATAAATCCTAAACATTATTATTGTATTGGATCAATGAATCATAAGCATTTCTGGTTTTATAAAATTATATATGCCAAACAAGAAAATATAACAAAATAAAATAGAAAACTAATCTTAAATTTATCCTTAAATTGTTTCCCAAGTACGAGAATTCTCGCCGTATTGCGTTAGTTGAATAATAAATACAATTTAAAAAAAAATTGTTCATTTACTATTCAAAACGTTATCTAATATTAATTGTTTGGGCCTATATGTAACTAACATTTAAGATAAAACTGAATTTTAGGTTAAAATAAATGAACTTAATGTTAACAAATAGAAAGTATTAAACATATTATTTATAGTTAAATTTATCTTTAAGTTTAATGTTTTTAACTATTTTACTGGGATCATTTTTTATGGGATTAAATTAATTTTAATGTTTTTAATTATTTTAATGGGATCATATTTTTTATGGGGTCAAATTTTATTTTTAAATGGAATCAATACCAATTTTGTAAAACAAAAGCAAAAATATTTTAAAAAGTAGTGGGGTCAGTTGAGTCCACTCCTCTTTCATTGCTTCCACCTTTGCGGTTTAATCAAATGGTGGTATTGCGATTCAGTGTGTACCTACGTTGGTGCTGATTCGGTTCTTAATGAGAACTAAATAACATCATTTGGTTAGTTTGATTTTGAACTTTGACCAAAATGATTGATATGGTAGAACATAACAGACGATTAGTCATCAGTTAGAAAGTATTTCAAATTCAGGTCAAGTATTGGTCAAAGAGTGGGACAGATGCCTTGGATGATTATTAAAAATTCCATATAAAATTTTGATCTTATACAATTTTGATATTGCTTCTCATAACGCCCATCTCTAGATCTGCGTCTGGTATTGTGGTATATTTTTAGCATATTGCACTATATATTATTAAACTCATTTTTACTGGGATTGATCGAATCAACCAATAAGGCGTATCAAAAAGAACTAAGTCGGTGAAAAGTGAAAAACACAGAGTGGTTTTGTATCAGTTCAATGGATCTTGCGACTGCCTTGTATCTAAGTCTAATAGACAAATCTGTACCCCCTAGTCTCT